AGCCGCCTCAGGTGCTCATCGGTCTCCAGGATCCACGCTGTGGCTGCGAGCTTTGACACGTTTCTGGTTTCTTCCTACTTGTGGACTGTGCAGAACCTTCTGGAGGGAAAAGGAATTGGAATAAAGAGCATGGGGATGAGTGTTAGGAGCTAGTGACTCAACGAGATTTGGGTTGGGTCAGAGCGAGTGGAGGAGGGAGGGGGAACGAACTCAAGCCGCGTAGACTTTGGGGTGCCAAAATGTTTAAGGAAGTATCCGGGATCAGTAGGTGGAGCTATTGCTACAAGAGAGTTTTGCCCCCTGAGTGCAAAGAGGAGTGTTTTGGCTGCTCGTTCGAAAAGTTGAGGTTTGGTCTTTGAAATCTTGGGTAGCATTAGACGTTATTTTTGTTTAACTGTTCCCGTTTGGGAAAAAGTATTTCCCTTCCATGGATTTATAAACTGTTACAGTATTAACACCGCGCTAACACATTGCTTAGGCAAGCTGTTTTTGAGGTTGCCTTTACAGTCCTTTAGAAAAAGAAATGGAAGCTTAAGCTTGCAAAACTTTTTTGAAATACCGTAAGGATTTTTCTTTCTAAGTCAGCTGAAAATTTGAACTATTGTTTCAGTTAGTTAAACTATTTATTCAGCATCCTTTTTGGAGAACGAAATATATCGTCTTGTGTAAAAGAAAGGTCACATTATCTTTAACTCCATGTTCTGAGAAAGCTTAATTTGATTCTAAGTCTACATATAAAATACTTTTTTACTCTGGTTTTGCTTTAGATATTGGTTATTTGTTGGATTTTTGGGGATGTTTACGGCACTCTAGAGTCACGATGCAGAACGTTTGGCTAATTTTTAAAAATGTGATCCAGTTATCTTTAGGAGGTTTTATTTTTCTAGTAGAGTATGGCTTTGATACTGTCTTTCTCTTTTCTTTTTCTTACTCATTGATACTCAATACATTTTTGTCATGTTCTGTTATAGTAATAGCAATAAAGATAATGCATCTAAGAATTTATTCTGGTTTAGATTTAAAAAATCTTGGATCTAGTTCAGTTCTTAGGTGTAGGATGCAATCTTTCTGATACTTAATTTGACAGAAATGTAGAACACTGGCATTATTGGCAATCTATTCGAACTCGCATTTAGTATATTGTTGAAGCAGCTGTATCCTATTAAGTTCTGGGAACTGAAGGAAAGCACTCTGCCACTGAGGTATATATAACCCTAGCACTTTATTTTGAGATAGGGTCCCACTAAGTTAGTCAGGCTGGCCTTGCACTTGGCAACAATACTTTTGGCCTCATGCAGCCTTTTAGTATTGCAAACTTGAGCCACCAGTACCAGCTGGTTCTGTTTACTTAAACAGATACTCTGTGTAACATAATTAATGGAGGCAAATGCCTAAAGGTGAGGAAATGGGCAAATTTAGAGAAAACTTACAGCTGACTCCATAGTTTGGGCAAGTAAGCATGCTCAAAATTAAGATTCTTTAAGTAAGGTTTTTATTTCTTAGAATTGGGAGCTTAGACAATTTCAAGGTGATTTCACAGGTGTGAGTCTTTAATTTTCCACAACTAACTCCCAGTAAACATGGAACTTTATTTTCCTCTTTCTTCCTTTAAAGGTACTAAAGAAATGAAATCAGAGTGTAGTGCACTTTTGGTTTTTAAATGTTTGTTTTAAGGTGTTAAATGTCCTTGAGATGCAAAACCACTATATGTTCAGTCTCCTGACTTCATTGGAAAGGCCTGTGAAAAGAAGTGGTCCTGTTTCATAGTTTTTGGACTTTGCTGTTGTTGTTGTTTTTTCTTTTATTTCATAGGGTTGTTTTTTGTTGTTGTTGTTGTTGTTGTTCATTTGTTTATTTTGGGGTTCCCCATCCCCACCCCGAGACAGGTCTCTCTGTGTATCTTTGGGGCCTGTCTCACCATAGACAAAGGTGGCCTCGAACTCAGAGATCCAACTGCCTCTGCCTCTTGAGTGCTGGGATCAATCAAAGGCGTTCACCACCACTGCCCAGTATTTCATAGTTCTGATGTGGAATTTTATTTGGTAATTTTTAAATTTTTTTCAGTTAAGTAGATGACTGAAGTTGGAAGCCAAAAAACCCCTTCTGTGATGTAATCTATGATTTAAATTTTCGGTGTTGAAACTTCTTAAAATTACTATTTTAAATATTTTATTTCATATTTTTTACTGTTAGTAGTTTTATTGATAACAGCAGTAGGAGGGTATCCTGTTAAATCATGTGTTTTCATTATTTCTATAGTAGATAAATTTGCGATTAATAACTATTTTTAAATGCATGTGACAAGTATATTAAGTTATTGGCTATTTCAACTGAGGTTTCCTTTTTTATTTTTTTAATGGTTTCTTTTTATTTCTTATATGCATTGGTGTTTTTCCTTGCATGAATGTCTGTGTGAGGGTGTTGAATCTCATGGAACCACAGTTACAGACAGTTGTGAGCTGGCGTGTGAGTCTTGGGGATAGAACTAGGGTCCTCTGGAAGAGCAACCAGTGCTTTTAACCTCTGGACCATCTCTCCAGCCCCTCAACTGAGGTTTCTTGTTTTTATGAACAAAGGGCATTGTGGCTTGAATTTGTGGTTGGTAAGGTAATTGCGATTATCTGTTATTCCTCCCCAGGGAAAATGATATTTAGGCAAGAAGAATGCCATAGATAGCAATGGCTGGAGTGGCAGTGCAATTAGTTATCTGTAATCGAAAATAATAATAATTTCATTTATCCTTTAATTATAATAAAAGATGCAAATTAGTTCTAATAAAACTGCCTTTGAACAAGATAGGAATACTGAAGTGACCAAAGGTAGGTAGGAATAATATTAAATACAGACCAGTGTGGTTACTAATTCAAACTTGGCCAAATGTTAGTTACTGAGTGGAACAAAAGATTCTGCAGTTAGAAGTGAAACCATGTTAACAAGTATGGAATAATGGTTATCTTCAATAGTATATGGACTGGGAACAGGCCCAGGAAGTTTCTGTATCTTTAGGTGTTGATTACATGGAAAATAGGTATGTTCTTTTTTTTTTTTTTAACTAAATTGTAAACAAGATTTGTGCTTTGTTTTTTTGTGGGTTTTTTTGTTTGTTTGTTTGTTTGTTTTGATTTGATTTGATTTTTCGAGACAGGGTTCCTCTGTGGCTTTGGAGGCTATCCTGCAGACCAAGCTGGTCTCCAACTCACAGAGATCCGCCTGCCTCTGCCTCCTAAGTGCTGGGTTTGAAGGTGTGCTCTCCACCACCATCTGGCAATTTGAGATGGTTTTGGTCCCTAACCTTCACATCCATCTGCCTCCTCCTCTCCTATAGCTGTTTGGTACTAAGCCTGCTTACAAAATGTATCTTGTATACCAATAAAATTGGCTGTAGAATCCAACTAGAAACAATGCAATACATGTTTCGCTTTTTGTGTAAAACCAGTAATTTGTGACTTATTAAGATAGTGAATTTTAATAAGTACTGTGTAATGTCTCCTTTGCTATGCTGAGAGTTTTGAAATGTCTGAAGTATAATTGTGACTTTGAAGTGGCATGGTATTGCTGTAGTGATCTCTTCTTTCCCAAAGTTGTGGACAACTTTTACTAAAGCTGCTACAAATAAATAAATAAATAAATAAGCAAGCAAACATAAGTAGATAAATAAAGGTTTCTATGAGTTTAGGGGTTATGTTCAGTTGATATAGTACTTGCCTAGTATGCATGAAATGCCAGCACTGAATAAACTGGACATGGTGGTGCACACTGTTTTTCCAGCACTAGGAGGCAGAGACCAAGTATCAGAAGTTCAAGGTTACATAGTAAGTTCAATGCCAGCTTGGGATACATGAGACACTGTCTTGAAAAGTTTCTATGTTTAAGAATTGTTAAGGGTCATCCAGGAGACTAAGTGCTTACATGCTTTTCCTGTTTTATCATAATACTTTGAATAAATTATATGTTCTTGTTCTCAAAATTTGTAGCCAAACTTTAATTATTACATCTTGTCAGTGCTCTTTCCAGATAAAAGTAATTAATACTTATTTAAGTTTCACCTTGCTGTATTGCCCTTTAGAAATCTTGATTTTTGTTCTTCAGGCATTAATTATAGCTTTCAATTTTTGTGGCATTTGAAGAGGCATTTTTTTTTTAAGATTTTATTTATTTATTATGTATACAACATTCTGCTTCTATATATATCTGCACACCAGAAGAGGGCCACCATGTGGTTGCTGGGAATTGAACTCAGGACCTCTGGAAGAGCAGTTGGTGCTCTTAACCT